TTTATGGCATTGTGATGATCAAGATTATTTTTATGTACTGTAGCTCACTGGCAGGACACCTAGTGACATAAGGTCATGGATGAGAAAGCAGAAACACCCTGGAATGAAGAACAGTCATCTTTACCAGTAAGAATGAAGTTTTTCCTGCTGCATTTGAAATACATGACAAAATCACAAGGAAATATTGAATTATCCCTATAGAATCCTGGGAGAGCAAGCTGTTATGAGCAATGTGTTAAGCAAGCTTCACCATTTTATTTTCCTACTACAAAAAGCATAACTCATGGTTAAGGGATGTGATGTTATAGAAGTGGACATACTGTATACGTAATTTCTTTATATAAAACATATAAATTATCATTTAACTGAGTATAAATATTTCAACAGGTCATGTATAGTGTTTCACATTTTCATTAACTTTTATGGTTGTGAGCTCAAGAAGAAAAAGTGTTGAACAGAGATTGCTAATGGAGTTATCTACTGTAAATAAAGTACACTACCAAGTCAACTATCAAGATCATTTGTCTCTCAGATATGGTGAAACACCCAAGACAGCTATTTTCTCATCATCGCAGTGACACCATCATTCAACACTTCATGTGTACAGTATCTTCAAGCGTCACAGATGTTTGTAACTGTGAATTGCATCTCAGACAGACTGATTTTAATCAGTGGTTGTTCATGAGAGAATTCAGCATAACATTCTAGGGAAGGGACATTATCATCTGGGACAACAAAGCTTCTTCGCCAATTGCAACTGTTCTGATCTCCAGTCTTGGGTACACAATCACATGGGTGCAGGAATGTGGTGCTTCTTAGCTTTTCACATTTATATGTAAATAAACTGCACAAGTCAATTCAAATTAGATTCTAGTGATTACACACCCATTGGATGAAAAAGAGAAGTGATCTGAATATTCAAAGTTCATAATTTAAGTAAAGCAATGAAGTCATGAAGACTAATCCTTGCATTCACAATTCCAATAAATTTCAAAGGAAAGGTTGAGAATAAATTAGGGACACGTCTGACTAGATTTAGGGTGAAATCAAAGGTCAGAATTTGGGTTAAGACTTATTTTAAATTTAAGACTGGTGTTAGGCTTAGGTACTGCATTAGCTTAGGGTTCTATTGAAGGACGTTAGGGTTAGTGTTACAATGTACAGACAGAATTACATTTAGTGCTAATTTAAGGCTTAAGAGTCAGCATGAGGATTGAAATAAGACCTACATTAGACTTACATTAAGGACAAGGGTTGGGCTTATTTTAGGATGAGGGAAATGGTGGGTTTATTACCATTTAGTACATTATGACATTCTTTTTTGGTTCTTTTTCCTCTAAGACGTGATATAAGCCTTTTGAATTAGTTGATATTGTTTCTGAATGTGCAGAGGAATTCAAACAAACCTGGAGCTTATAGATATATTTCATAGTGCAGCAGAAGCAGAACCACACCTGCAAGCAAAACTAAAACAACAGATATATTAATACTTACTGGTTGTCTGACGACACTCAGGCAGTTTTTCCAGAGCAGAAGTCGTAACTGCTGAAGGAACGTTGCCATTTGCAAACTGGGAAATTAAAAAAGGTAACATCAGCAAGAGGTCAAGCCATAAACATCTTACATACATTCAGAAAATATTACAGAACTTTAATACATGTCGATATTGAGGATAACTTATACGAAAAAACGTTCTGCTCCATAGGAAAGCTTTGTGCCAATTTTCATCCCAGCAGTGGTTGTTTTTGATGTTCTCCCCATGTTAACAAGACATCTTGGTCTTTTTTCCCTCCTACTGTACCTCCCAGAGACATGCTAGCTGGGTTAAAGGGTGTCTCCACATTGTCTCTGGGTGCCAGTGCGTGTTTGTGCCCTGCAGTGGACTGGAATTTCATCTGGAGTGTAGTCCTGCTTTGTGCCCTGTGCTTCTTGGGTAGGTGCAGTGTTGCCACAGCTCTTAGCAGGAACTAGGGGCTTTCTGATAATGGATAGACATAAGCTTACTGTATACAATTTCAAGCATTTAAAACTGTCTTGAGCTTTCAAGAAAAAAGATTGCATGGGAAGATTGTTGTGTTTTTGTTGTTAATGGAGACAGAGTCCCAGCACTTCAGACATGGGCAACTACATGCAGCATTTCAGAACAAAAACATTCACTTTTTATGTTTATAAGAGTTTGTACAATTTGCTACACAGTGAGCAAATACATATATAGGTTCTGCATTGCATAAATCAGAAGTCAGATAATAATCTAAAGGTCTTTGAGACTTTAAAGAAAAATATTTTAGATTTTCTTTTGCTCTTTAAGAAAGAAATTGGGTTTTATCATGGAGGTCTCTGAAAAGTGAAAACTTTCTGTGTACCGTATGATACAGAGCCCTCCAGAATTACTGGCACCCTTGGTAAAGATGAGCAAAAACGCTATGAAAAAATGTCTTTGTTGTTTATCAGCTTGATCTTACACTGAAAATGTGAGAGAAATCTAATGTGTCAGCTAGGTAAAATTATTCAAAGAAAAAAAAACATTTTTCTCAAAAACACATGTGTCACAATTATTGGCACCCCTGCATTTAGTACTTTGTGCACCCTCCCAGAAGCACTGAGTCTTCTCTTATAATGCTGGATGAGGTGGGAGAACACATATAAAGGGATCTGAGACCATTCCTCCATACAAAATCTCTCTAGATCCTTCAGAGTCCTTGGCCCTCGCTTGTGGACTCTCCTCTTCAGCTCACCCCACAGGTTTTCACAGGTTTTCACATGTTACCTCATATTTATACCCCAGTGAAACAGGAAGTCATGGATGACCACTTAGGAGTTCCTAAAGACTCAGGTGTGCTTAAAAAAGGTAAAATATGAATGGGAATATATGTCAATTAGATTTTGTTCATAGGAATTTCTAGGGCTACCAATTATGTGACCCTGTGTTTTTGAGAGAAAAAAAATTCATTGCCTTTTTTTCTCATCTTTACTAAGGGTGCCAATAATTCTGGAGGGCACTGTACATGCATTTAATTATTTGTACCCTATATTGATAACAAATACAGTAAAATTTTATTTAACAAAGATTCTTAAGCAAGCAGGAACATTCTTAAGCAAGCAGGAACATGACAGCTGTAGTCACTGCTATTGAAAAATCCATTCAACTTCCCAGTTTTATCTGTGTCCATCATCAAGACTAGTGGGATGGCTATTATCCCAACGGGAAATGGCCATGAGAAGGCTTTAGCCAAATTACATAAGCAGAGCTGTTTCGGAAGATAGTTCATGCCCAGGAGGAAACAATTGGGAATCTTCAGTAAGCTCTGACATCATCAGAATACAGCATCTCCACGGCAACCACTGGAGGCTAGCCTCGTGAGTCTGGGGTCGGCACTGGAGACCCATGGCAACAGAAACAGAAAACAGAGACAGACTGCCTGCACTCAATCAAAACAAACAATCGTGTTCCTGGAGAAAGTGGTGCCCGTGGGGACATACAGTATGCCATTGTACAGAAAAAGAGCCCAATACTGATCTTTAAAAACACACACACACATTTATAAAGTCCGAGCGAACTGTTTTGATTCAGCGCTGACCATTTAACCGGCTGTTGTCTGTAGTTTTGACTTTGGACTCCGGAGATATTTAAGTCTAAAATCTTAAAACAGCACCACGGTCAAATGTTAAAAAGGGCATTTAAAGAACAGGCATGAAACTGGGATGTGGAAGGGAGAGTCGACCTACTGTCCTGCATAAGGCGAATCGGACAGGGTCTGTCAAAAAATAAATATCAACTTCAAACTATACTTACAATCGTGAAGGGCAAGCAAGTCGAGTGTTTAGCTTTTTTTGTAGTTATTTATACCGAATAATACTGAAGGTATTATTAGAAATAATTACGAATAGGAGTTACGAATAATATAAGATTTTCGCACTCGATCAGCGTCTAGTTCCACTTCCTCGGGGACTGAGTGCACTTGGAGGATACTGTTCATGGGCGAAAAATGGCGTGAATACTTAGTCCTCAGCAACATTATTATCGAATTTCTGAATTTGTATCATTCACAGATAATGTTATACAAGCCCATTTAACCGAAGACTATGGAGCTGGAATGTCAAAACTGATTTTCTTAACTGCTTTCTGGACTACTTATTTTCTGGACAGATTGAAATGGGTGAATACTATTTACTGTGACTAAATGTAAAATAATATAAAGACTTAAGTTACGTCATTAGTAAAAGTGACGAAAAAAATATGGGTTATCGAATTCATTTTTTGTTACTGCTGAAACCCTCTTCTTCATCTTTGAAAATAACATAATCCGTTGTTCAACCTCTTCTTGCAAAACTGAAATAACCAAACGTGTAAATACGCAAAACATAGAATTGAAAACGTATGGAATACATTCCCGTCCGATTATTTTTTTATTTTATTTTAAATGCAATTGTGACGCACATTTTGTCACTTTTTTGGCACACAAATCATGTAAACAAATTATTGTGAACGCAACATTGTGCACCCTGAACGACGGGAATTTGTGAACTGGTTTTGTAATACAAGTCACAGAACAAAGATGTGTTTTTTGTGAAGACCATTTAAAAGTATCTGAACCCTTGTGGAACTGTGCGTACTTTGCCGTAAAAATGTCTAGTCCAATTCCAAACACTATCAAATCGCCGCTTAAAGATTTAAAACGCGGTTCAATATTTGATTAGAACTATCCGTGATCAAATCGAACCTACAGGGTGGTGAAAACAATTTTTAAAATGCAATCTAGAAGAATAAGAACATGAATTTAAACATCCTGATAATTGTTTTAACAAGTACAAACGATTCGATTTCGAATCAGTCTGACCTTCATAAATTAATCATTTTCACCGCTTTAATGGTGTTATAATGGTGTTCCGTATGTCACTCTCCACGGAACACGTTTCTCACGAAAATACGATTTTATCCTCCAGGACGCTGCTTAGACAAACTGGGTTAGTTTAAGTGCGAAATGGAAGATAATGGGGAGTGACTACGATTATTTTTATAAATAGCACTCCGGGAGGTGATTTCTTACCGTGAAATATTATTACAATGTAAATTGCTCAGCACACTCATTCATTTACAAACAACAACACATACCGTTTCGGGGTGAAATGTACAAAAGCACTTCATGTGTCATGAAGGTTTGTGTACACAACGTGCGTTCAACAAACTTGCGTTAAACACCCGTTAAGGTCGTCGCTGATGCCCACTTGAAAGTTCTTGTGAGAACACGAGAAGGACCATTTTCAACGCTTTTTCCTTAGTTTAATGCATTTCATGACGTAGGGTGTTTTTACACGTTAAAGGGGAAGAAAACGTTAAAACTCTAAAGTCCAAGGAACACGTGCCTTTAACGGCCTTTAAATACATACAAATTGATCGCTTTTCTTAGATGCCATTCTAATGCGAGATTATGTTAACACAATCTGGATTTACTAAAATAATTTTTAAAAACGAAATCTTCACATGAAATACTGCCTTTTGTATCCAATGTCATTAAACACAAATGGACACATTTAAGAAGACTATTCGCAGTTTCCATATATGATTAATTCTCCACCTACCTTACTTCACGTCTTTCTGTGGCGGTTGGAAACTAATCCTACTCCATCTCTCAGCTCAGTGTCCGTGCAAATCCTCACAGGTGTGTGACTTTACATAAGAGCCGCTCCTTTCTACACAATAGACGGAGGATGGCCCGCTTTCTTCTCTATTTTTATGGGGTTTTTTTTTGCTCTGGCTTCTTTCCAAAACCTCCGCTGCGGTTGCATTTAAAATATTTGAGATCTGTAATCTCTCCTAACGCATAAATTGGGGCTAAGTAGTGAACAGTGACTAATCTAATTTGGTTTTAAAAATATGACTGGTGTTGTTCCAATGTAATTGAATCAAGAAAACCGCAGGACTGTTAACCTGTCCACGAGCACCATCACCGGACTGGTGACGGAATGCGTTGTGAAGTTCAGAATAGTTTATGATTTTCATTTGCTGTAGTGTATCGCGACACTGATGCCTTTTGATGTTTACCTTTTACATTCACTCTCAGACAGGGGGTCGTATTCGTTGACTTCAACTTTCAGGAAGTTACAGACAGTCCTGGGCGTTATTCTCTCAGCCTTCTCAAACACAAACAAGTGAAGATACTGGACCTTTCCGGCTTTATCACAAACCGCGTTTCAATACTAAAGCACGGCAGACTTCAAAAAGCTATTGCCTGTAATTGTAGAGTAGTTCACACTCTCATAAATCTGTTGATTCCATATTGATTATTGATTGATGTATTGCAACGCGGCCCCCTCGTGTTAAGATCAGCACATGAAATAAACAAATCACAGGATGATTCAGTTTTATTTACCTTGACTAGACTGTTCACTCACCCCGGGATGACAAAGCAGTTGCTATCGATATCGGAAGAAATCGATGCGGCTCTCGGAAAACATAGTGAAGAGAGGGATCTGTCCGAAGAATATCCTGGGGTTTCTTGGTACTGCTACACGTCAGCTCCGGGGATCCCGAGATTAGCCTGTCACTGAAATTGATTTATATGCATATATATGTATATAGAAATACACGCAAGTATTATTGATTAAAATCGATCAAATTAACGATGCATTGTTAGTGTAATCTGATGTGTCAGTCCAAACTGAAATCTCAGAAATGACCTAGAAGCTCGGGCACAGTCTGTATCTATCCAAACACCCGCAGCCCTTAACTAGACGAGTATTCGCTTGAAACAGAGCTGTGAACAGCCGGTCTGTCCAGTTTTCCTAATCTGCGTGCATATGCAATCAGGAACATTAAGGTCCGTCATCACGGCGGGCTAGGCGCATCCACGACCGCTGTTGTGATTTCCATGGTGCCCCGAGGCGGGTTAACATGACAACTGTTGACCGAGTTCCATCCTTATGCAATTCAGTTCGCCTTCGCGGTAGGAAGGTACATTTCTGCCGTGTACAGGGTTTTCTAAACCATAAGTGTGCATTTTAATATTTTAAGAAGGTTGTTCTTCTTCTTCTGTTGTTTTTTGTTTGGGTTTTTTGTAAATTCCTCTTGAAAAATATTTCGTATTATCTAAAAAACTTAGGAATCTAGTATACTGTCTCTTCTCCCAACTTTTATTTTCTAGGATAAAAGTATTACCCAAACTTATAATGATCAAATATATACAGTAAATATATGTGCGTCCGTCCCGTCTATTCATTCTCGCGGAACACAGGACAGCAGACTTTGTCTTTATAGGGCTCAATCGATAATTTGACCATTCGATTAATTGATTAAAAAAATGTTATTAGTGTTGTTACAATTTCATTGACTCACAAGCTAGGCGACACTAGACTTAGGCTGAGAACCACTTAACTTTTCTACACTTTGGTTTGATTTTTTAAGGATGAAGATGAAACATCAGGAGGGTTTTCTGGACGTTGTTAACCAATACGTCTCCCACAAAGACCGCTGCGTTGAACGTGCATTTAGGTTGTGATTATTTGGTTCTTATGGGATTCAGTAACTTTATTAAACATCGTAGTCATTAAATATCAGCCTTATTAAAATTACAGATCGCCCACAAGACTGTCATCGTCCATCTTCCGTTCGCTTTACCGCGTTTTTACATAAAAGTAAAAAACGGCACAAGCTACACATTGGTTTATTTTTAGCACCTCCAATAATAAAGCGCTAAGATTAAGACAGCACGGTTACGTAGCAGCAAAGTGCATCACATTACCTAGTGAAGCTAAACACGCATTTGAACTATTAACAAGGACCTCTTCACAAGGGACAGGACAGGACGATGAAAACTCCTGTTCAAGTAGACGACGTTAAATAATCAAATCAGCCTGACGCCTTCGCAAAAAATAAATCTGTCGTAACCGGTGAACAGCTCAACAACGATACTGAAAGCATCTGTTCGAAATACGTTTTTGCTGAGATGCGTAACGACGTCGTTTCCGAGATACAGCGCCTTGTTTTTTTGG